AGGACAGAACACCACCAGAGCAGGCTCTTAGGAGAAGTAAGACTTGAGCTGAGTCTTCCAGGACGGTGTGAATTGTAGTAGAACAGAGAGGAAAGAAAAGAGGAAGGGAAATGGCAGGTGTCATTCCGGGAAAAGGGAAAAGCAAGGACAAAGCCCGGAGGTGAGAGAATGGCTGTTCCAGAAGGAAGAAGTTTATTATGGAAGCATGGATATTTATGGGGACAGTGGAGAGAAATTAGGTTGAAGAGATGGGCAAAGGGAGATCTTGAAGAAACTTCAGGTCCATGACAAAGGGTTGAAATTTAATCCCATAGGTCAGGATTCCTAACCAATGGGCAGCAGAACCCTGGAAAGCTGTAGAATTATGCAACTGTGGGAGGATTGCTTGAGCCAAGGAGTTTGAGGCTGCAGTGAGCTATGACTGTGCAATTGTATTTCTAGCCTGGGTGACCGAGGGAGACTCTTTCTCTAAAAATAATAAATAAATAAAATAGAATTATCCACAGGGGACAGGGATCCATAAATGCATTGATAACTCTCATATGATGAGATGAAGTTTTTCTTTTTTTTCTTTTTTACAAAGATGGGGTTTCACTATGATGGCCAGGCTGGTCTTGAACTCCTGACCTCAGGTGATCCACCCACCTCAGCCTCCCAAAGTGCTAGGATTACAGGCATGAGTCACTGCGCCCGGCCAAGATGAAGTTTTTATACATTGAAAAAAATGATCATTTTGGCTGGGCATTGTAGCTTACACCTGTAATCCCAGCATTTTAGGAGGTCAAGGCAGGAGGATCACTTGAGTACAAGAGTTCGAAACCAGCCTGGGCAATATAGTGAGACCCAGACTCAAAAAAGAAGAGAAGAGGGGAGGGGAGGGGAGGGGAGGGGAAAGATGGATGGTCATTTCAGAGAACATGACCAATAAGAAAACATGTCCAACCTTACTAGAAACTAGGGTCTAGCTTCCCGGGGCTGCTGTAAAAAATCACCACAAAACTGGGTGGCTTAAAACAACAGAAATTTACTCTCTCACAGTTCTGGAGGCTTGAAGTCTGAAATCCAGGTGTCAGCAGTTAGTTCCTTGCAGAGGAGAAGCTCTCTGGGCCTCTCTCCTGGCTTCTGCAGCTGCTGGCAGGCCTTGGTGTCATTGGCTTGGAGGTACATCCCTCTCGGCTTCCATTGTCACATGACATTCTTCTTGTTTTTATTTAAATTTTTTTTTTTTTTTTTTTTTTTTTTTTTAATAAAGACGGGGTTTCACCATGTTGGTCAGGCTGGTCTTGAACTCCCGACCTCAGGTGATCCGCCTGCCTTGACCTCCAAAGTGCTTGGATTACAGGCGTGAGCCACCACACCCAGCCAACATTCTTCTTGTAAGAACACTACTCCTCAGCCTTAGGGCCTACACTAACCCAGGATGACCACATCTGAAAACCACATCTGGAAACCGTATTTTCAAAGCAGGTCACATTCTGGGGTTCTGAGTGGATGTGAATTTTGGGGGACACTATTAAATCCAGTACACTAGGGAAATGCAAATATAAAGGACACGGGCCAGGCACGATGGTGCACAGCTGTAATCCCAGCACCTTGGGAGGCCAAGGTGGGTGGATCACTTTAGGTCAGGAGTTCGAAACCAGCCTGGGCAACATGGGGAAACTCCGTTTCTACTAAAAATACAAAAATTAGCTGGGTGTGGTGGTGTGCAACTGTAAGTGCAGGTACTTGGGAGTCTGAGGTGGGAGAATCGCTTGGGAGGTGGAGGTTGCAGTGAGCCAAGATGACACCACTGCAGCAACAGAGTGTGACTCTCTCTCTAAATAAATAAATGACATGAAGTAGACCACCTCACTTCCATCATACTGGCAAAAATTGAAACGTCTGTGTCATGGGTTGCATTCTACAGTAGTAGGCGGTGTTTTTGGGGTCAAGATGTTTATTAGGAATCATTCCCTGTGAGAGGAACAAGATGGAAGCAGGACTGGGCAGAGGCAGAAATCCAACTGCACTGCAGGCTCAGTAAAGCTTCAGTCAATATAGTGGGGGCCTCTGAATGAATATTGCCCCTGAGCACGTTTTTCACGGGGCTGAAATGGCTGGGTTTTTATATCCCTAGAAAAGTGCTGCCCCAAAGGGTGTGCCCTCCGGCAAGGTGGCTTTCTGTTGCTGAGGGCCAACTGCTGGCCACAATCCTGTGACCTGGCAGCAAGTCCTTCCCTGGAAAAGGATGTGGGAGGCAGACTTACGTCTGACAATATAGAAAGGTGGTCTGAATGAAGAATGTGGAAGGCTGAAAAACGATTGCTCCAAAGAGAACCACGTCGAATCTCTGGAAGCTATGAATGTGACCTTATGTGGAAAAAGAGTCTTTGCACATGTGATTGTGTTAAACATCTTGAGGTGAGGAGGGAATCCTGGATCATCTGGGTGGATCCTAAATGCCATCCCAAGTGTCCTTATAAGAGAGAGGTGGAGGGAGTTTAGCCTGACCCACAGAAGTGAAAACAAAGGAGGCAGAGATTGCAGTGATGTGGCCACAAGCCCAGGAGTGCCCGCAGTCACCAGGAGTTTGGAGGAGTCAAGGACAGGTTCTCCCTGGAAACTCCAGAGAAATCATGGCTCTGCCAACCCCTTGGTCTTGACCAGTTAAACTGATTTCTGACTTCTGACTTACTGGATAGGCCAGAAGAATCCATTTCTGTTGTTTCAAGCCATGGAGCTCGTGGTAACTCATGGCAGCCACAGGAAATGAATGCAAAAAAGCAACAGGAAAATTGCTGAGGGGACATAAATGGGTGTACTGGTTAGAGAATCCACCTGGGGGTGGCCATGGGGGATCAAGAGTTCACATCTATGGAACATCTGGAAGAGTGCCTGGAACACATCCCCCTAATATTGGCTGCTCATACCCCCAACTCCCTGCTGAGATCTCCTTGAAGGGGACGCCTCGCATGAAAACAAAGAGAAAGCCCCCTCCAATGGCAGCCCCACCACCCACCTCAGATCAGAATGCAGCTTCTGCCTGCCCCCAACTCCCCACTGCACCTGGTGTAGCCCACCAGCGACTGATCTTTGGTTTTGCCTTGCTTGTCACCTCGACCAGGCTGGACACCCCCAGGATCTCTGGTCTCCTGTCCTTCCAGAGAAAGGGGAGTACTGAGGAGAATGGCAGAACCTCTCTTCTCCCTGTTTTGGGGAAGAAATATCCCTGAAGCCTAGATCTACTTGCTGGGCAGAGGTCAGTAAAATGGGATGGATGTGTAATTGATTGATTGGAGCTGTAATTCAATGGGGCCTCATAGCTATACACCCCAAAAGGGCACCAAGGTCCTTGGGGCTCCTTTAGGTGAATTTAACTTGCTTTACTCAATAATAACACATTTCTGAAAACATGCCTACTGTGTCTTTGTATATGGCATGTTACACTTAAAGCTGGTGTTAGGAAGGTGTGCTTAAAGCTGAGATTTTTTAAATTATTTATTTATTTTATTTTATTTTTTATTTTATTTTATATTTTTAGAGATGGGGTTTCACCATGTAGGCCAAGCTGGGCTTGAATTCCTGACCTCGTGATCCGCCCGCCTCGGCCTCCCAAAGTGCTAGGATTACTGGCATGAGCCACCGCGCCTGGCCCAAGCTGAGATTTTTTTTTTTTTTTTTTTTTGAGACGGAGTTTCGCTGTTGTTACCCAGGCTGGAGTGCAATGGCGCGATCTCGGCTCACCGCAACCTCCGTCTCCTGGGTTCAGGCAATTCTCCTGCCTCAGCCTCCTGAGTAGCTGGGATTACAGGCACGTGCCACCATGCCCAGCTCATTTTTTGTATTTTTAGTAGAGACGGGGTTTCACCATGTTGACCAGGATGGTCTCGATCTCTTGACCTCGTGATCCACCCGCCTCGGCCTCCCAAAGTGCTGGGATTACAGGCTTGAGCCACCGCGCCCGGCCAAGCTGAGATTTTTTAAAAAAATTTTTTAAGATGGAGTTTTGCTCTTGTTGCCCAGGCTGGAGTGCAATGGTGCCATCTCAGCTCACTGCAACGTCCGCCTCCTGGGTTCAAGCGATTCTCCTGCTTCAGCCTCCAGAGTAACTGGGATTACAGGCGTGCGCCACCATGGCCGGCTAGTTTTGTATTTTAGTAGAGATGGGGTTTCTGCATGTTGGTCAGGCTGGTCTGAAACTCCCGACCTCAGGTGATCTGCCCCTCCACACTCAGCTTCCCAAAATGCTGGGATTATAGACCCGAGCCACCTTGCCGGCCAAAGGTAACAATTTTTATAAAGCAATAAAGTGGCTTGTATGTGAGGAGTGACATTCATAGCTCACAGCCTTATCTCAAACTCTCCTCCCAACCCTGCTCCTCCCAGAAATAAATACCCTGAAGGCCAGGGGTTGGGCCTAACTTCCCAGGCTGACCCCTCCCTGGGTAATGTGCTAGAGCTTTACACCTGCATCTGGTCCTGGTGGTGCTTGGGAAGGGGGAGCCACAAGTGGGCCTGCCATGGCACTTATGGGGGCTCCTTCTGCAGAGTGGGGCCAAGAGAACAGGAATCTGCTCCCCTGGGTCAGACATCAGAGAGGCTGGGATCTCTGAGGCACAGCGAATGAGCAAGCCCTTTCCTCTATAGATGGGAAATGGGGACCTGACTCTGGGGTTACTGTCTCCCAGACCAAAGCCCATCTCACCAGCCTTCTGGTCTCTTCCCAACACCTGAGCTGGAAAGAGTTTTTGTCTTCTGAACCAGATACCCACTCTCTGAGTAGACCAGGCCTTTCATAGAAAGTGACAGATCTAGGAAGCTGTGGCACCTTTCTGGGACAGCTGTGTGTACTTTGCACTAGAGGCAGGGGACCCTGCAAAATAATATCCTTCAATTCGAATCAACCCCCAGGGAGATGATAGCATGACAGCAAGCCAGCTGTAGCTGGAACCGCAAGAAGGCAAATAAATGGGTTTTCTTGCAAGTTTACCTGCCCCAGGGAGACTGGGACAAAGCCATTGGCTACATTAACAGTTTATTTGGGTAAAAACAATGTTTGTGTTTCTCATTTGTATTTTCAGGCTTGCATAAGTACCTACTATATGTCAGGCCTGTATCAGTGATACATAATTCTGGGCTCAAAGAGCTAAAAGTTTATAAGTGGAAATCAATAATGGTATATATATCATGTTAAATAGAAGTATATGAGCAGGTTCTATGGGAACACAGAAAGGAAAACAAGAAAATTTCTGGTAGGGTGGAAGGTGTAATCATTAATTCAGGTTTTGAGGGATGAATAGGAGTTTGTTTTGGGTCACACAGGTGATGGGGAGGACATTGCTACCCAAGAGCACAGCCAGCACTTCTAATCCCACCGTTCTAAGGCAGCCTTGTGCCTACCAAGGCAGGCAGAGAAGCGTCTACTGTTCAGGGACAGTTGACATGGCGGGGTGGGCGTGAGAGGAGGCTGCAGAGGTCCCATCCTAGGAGAGCCAGGCCAAGTGGGTTCTGCTATGGGCTGTGGGGAGCCTTTGGAGGACTGCCCATCCAAGGACATTTTAAGGGAAGAGGGGCTGTTTCAGATGGAGAATACAAACCCAAGAGGCCATCAGAAGCTGGAGTGGGTAGAAGCAGGATTGGAGATGGACGACAGCTCTTAGAGTTAGTGAGCTGGGATTTCCAATGTAACTTAGAGGGAGAGCCAGGGAAAGGGGGAATTTTATGCCTTTCTCTACCTCATGCCTCACTCTGTGCCTGACACGCACATCCCCAGTCCATGAAGGAAGGTAGCTGGTGCTTGGATTGGCACCTGAGCTGGGCTGCACTGGGCCCAGGAGTGGCAGAGACATTGAGTATGCAGCAGATGTTTTCTACTCTCCAGCGATGCCCATCCAAGGGGAGAGAGAACGCAAGTGCAAACAGGAGAGGCCACCCCTTGGTGGCTGCACAGCAATGCTCCCCAGGCACAGAGCCATCTGCAAGAGCAGCCCTGGCTGAGGGCTGCACACAGGCTTGGCCGATGGTGGGTTTACAGGGGGAGTGTGGCTGCAGATCAGAGAGGACGATCGCCCCCTGTGTGCACACACTCTGCCCCTGTCCCCAACCATGTGCCCATCCCCTGCCTTCTTGCCTTTCCTTCTCTTCCAGCCTCACTAGGGGCCCATCTCTCCTTCCCTTGAGAACTTGCTCCAGGTTTTGCCAACTTTATAATACCCAGGAAGGCCCTTTCGATTGACTGCTGGGAGGAGTTGAAGCCAGTGGTACTTTGCTAGTGGAGAGACTGTCACAAGTCTCTTTGAGAGTCTGCTACGAGTATAATCTATGCAGAAAAATCAATGCCCCTGCCCACAAACATGGAATTCTGCATATGATCTCAAGGGCCTTGAAGCCCACCTCCAAGCAAAGGGGGAGAGGGATGACAATGTTTGAGGTTGTGGTGGGTCTTGAGAGCCTGACCCGAGGAGAGGCTGGTACCCCTTTTTTTCTCCCTAGGGAGATTTTAAGGAGGGGCTCTTTGGGTCAGGAGGAAGCCACAGCCCCCAACCCAGTCCCCACTTTGAGGCTTCAGGCAGGGGAGTGACAGCCTGGGAACCGGTCTGCCAACCAGTTTAACCAGGGACTGGTTTCGACTCAGGGAGTTCAAAGGAAGCTGGGGTGCACCCTGTCCTACCCAGCCTGCCAATGGAAGCAGCAGCCCTTAACCCTTTCCCGGTTGTGCCCTGGACAACATCCAGGTGGTGGTCCATGCTGGAGAGGGATCTGAGCTTCCTTGAAAGATGAAATGCGTAGAGTGACCTTGGCTACAGCTGGGAAGTGCAACCAGACACCCAACAGTGGGGAAACTGAGAGAGAGCCTCCTGTGCTCCGCCACTCCAGATCTCCCTTGGGATTCCCTCCTCCAGCGTGGCAGTCCCCGGAGGTCCCCGGCTTCTGGGTGGACGCATGGGCGCTGGGATTGAATTTCCAGCATGATGAATATTCATTAGCCTGAGCCGGCCTCTGCTTCTGTTTACTTAGCTGGGAGGGGCTGGGTTTCAGGTTCACCGTGACTCCAGGAGCTGCCGCAGAGCAGGTACTAGCTCCTGCACCTGTTTCTCTTGCACCTGATGTGCAGCTGCTCCTACCCACCTCTCCTGGCCGAGCCTTGCCTCGTACAGCACCCCGGAGGCACCCCTTCCTGCCTGAGTCTCAGCCTCCCAGGCAGCTCCTACACTCAACTGCTTCTCTAGGAAAGGTCTCACCTCCAGCCTGGAGCAGTCGGGATTACAGGTACAGGCAGAGGGCCGGTGGGTGGGGAAAGCAAGGCACAGACCCCAGTCAGGGCACCCAGTTCTGCCAGTTCTTCTGGGAAAGAACCCAGGCCTCTAACCTGGACTCCACTCAGGACTCATCCCACTGGCCTCTTGGAGTCAGTCCAGGCCTCCAACAGAGCTCCTGCTGAGTAGTTTTCTGTTAACTCTTGCTGAACGGGAGCCCACCCCTCTGACCCCGCAGCCTGGAGCATTTTTCCAGCTGTCTGGTAGGAACATCTCCCCATTTTTATCCAGGGTACCCCAGTCTCATTCTGCATGGACAAGCATCATTAGGAGCCCTGGAGAGGGATGGTGGAGGGAGTTCTGTGTTTTGTCCAACAACACATTAGCTGACTTGCTTCCCCTACCTGCCCCTCTGCCACTCCACCTCTGCCCCAGTCAATGGTTAACTTCTTCCAGCTCAGAAGGGGCCTGGCTCAGTCTGGGCAAAGCCCTTCGGAGCAGCTCACAGAACCCAGCTGGGATGGAGGGGCCTGTCCCAGGACACCCATGTGCATGCCATAGTGCTGGTCACCAAAGACCAGGTGGCAGGCTGTTCCTTGAGACCCTTCATGGCCCCAAAGCTGTGCAAACAGTAGAGGTGAAGCTGGCATCCTCAGGGGCTGATTTCTATCATCCTTGGATTGCAGGGCCCCAGGGCAAGGGCCCAGCCCTTAGCTTGGCCAGCTCAGGAACCTGCATGAGCGAACTGCAGGGCCCACCTTGTGTCACCAAATGCTGGGTCAGTTTGGAGTCCGGAGCACCTGCCCCCCCCCCAACCCCCTTCAGCCCTCTGTGATTATGCAGGGGCACAAGGTTGTAGATATCTTGTTCTTTGCAACTTTGAGAATCTGGGAGGTTTGGACACCACATCACCTTTTTTGTTTGCTTGTTTTTAAAGCAAATCAGACTTTACACTATCTTTTATGATCGCTATTTACCGAATCCCACAGCTGGGTTATTTTGTAAAACAAAGAATATTCCGCTAATTTTTCTGTTTTGCAAATTCAGATTTCCATAAGTCAGGCTTGCTTAAAAGGCAAACACCTGCTTACTGGTGCCTACATGTCCTCCTGGGCAGAAGAGACCAGAAGACCTGGCAAAAGCATTCTTTTTTTTTTTTTTTTGAGACAGAATCTCACTCTGTCACCCAGGCTGGGGTGCAGTAGCACAATCTTGGCTCACTGCAACCTCTGCCTCCTGGGGGATTTTCGTGCTTCAGCTTCCCTAGTAGCTGGGACTACAGGCACATGACATCATACCTGCCTAATTTTTATTGTGGGTTTTTTTGTTTGTTTGTTTTTGTTTTTTGAGACGGAGTTTAGCTCTTGTTGCCCAGACTAGAGTGCAATGGTGTGATCGTGGCTCACTGCAACCTCTGTTTCCTGGGTTCAAGCAATTCTCCTGACTCAGCCTCCGGAGTAGCTGGGATTACAGGCATATGCCACCGCACCCAGCTAATTTTGTATTTTTAGTAGAGACAGTGTTTCTCCATGTTGGTCAGGCTGGTCTTGAACTCCCAACCTCAGGTGATCTACCCACCTAGGCCTCTCAAAGTGTTGGGATGACAGGTGTGAGCCACCGCGCTCTGTGTATTTCTGTATTTTTAGTGGTGACGGAGTTTCTCCATGTTGGCCAGGCTAGTCTTGAACTCCGGGCCTCAAGAAATTCTCCTGCCTCAGCCTCCCAAAGTGCTGGGATTATAGTCTTGAGCCACTGCACCTGATCTCTGGCAAAGAACATTCTAGAGAGACCAGAGTACAAGGCAAGGACACAAGGGCACCAGACCTGATGCCTTGGTGGAGGCCCCAGGGCAGGGCACAAGGGCTGTTCCCGTCTCTACATTTTCTGATAAGTTCCTTGTGATCTGTGGCTCCCTTTATGCCAAGGAAAGTTAAGCCTCAAGTTTGTCAACTTGAAATGCCTGTTAAAACAGGTGAATTTTAATGGGCACAGGCAGAAGCTTCTTTCTCTCTGGAGCTAGAAAATCTGGTGGTTATGAGTCTCAGGAGCTGGATCTTCTGTTCTTCCATTCTCCAAGTTCCTTGCTCCAGATGAGTAGTGGTGGGGCTGTGGGCCTCGTTCCAGACAAGGCAGTGACTGGGGTACCCACAGACCAAGCAAGTACCCTGTTCCTCCTTCTCTGCTCTCCCCATACCTCCTTCCAGAAATCCATTCTGGAACACTAAGTTCTGTGCAAGGCTGTGCTAAGCCCAGGTGAGGCAAGCTGCCAAAGCAAACCTCTCAGGCTGTTCCTAGGTGTGCTCACCTCTCCAGGGTGCCCTGGAAGTATTTATCGAGTCCCTCTCACCACCCCTTCACTTTCTGAGCGGGAGCTGCACAAGATCTCCCCTCAGCTTCTCTTGCCACTTGAGCCCAGCTAAAGGGACAGAGCTGGCAATGTGGCAGCTGCTTCCCAGACAGAGAAGTGGAAAGGAATCCACCAGCTGTGTGCTCTGGGGGAGGGGGTGGGGACATGGAGGGGCAAGAGACCAGAGCAGCGAGGAGCATGGATGCAGGCCTTCAGCTCATCATAAGCCTAGGCCCGCATCGTGTTCTCCTCTTTCCTGAATTTGATATGCTCCCCAACCCCTAAAATAATCTATCCTCATTATGGAAATTCTGGAAATCAGAAAACTAGAGTAGAGAAAGCACCCTCTTCTCCTACATAAAGAAAGGCACTATTAATCATTTGGAGTATGTCTTTCTGGTCTTTTTAAAAAATGCAGTGAATACCTCCAGTTTTTAAAAGGAGGTGAACACCAGGCGTGGTGGCTCACGCCTGTAATCCCAGCACTTTGGGAGGCCGAGGTGGGCAGATCACCTGAGGTAAGGAGTTCGAGACCAGCCTGACCAACATGGAATAATCCCCGTCTTTACTAAAAATACAAAAAATTAGCTGGGTGTGGTGGCGCATGCCTGTGATCCCAGCTACTTGGGAGTCTGAGGCAGGAAAATCACTTGAACCTGGGAGGTGGAGGTTGCAATGAGCCAAGATCACAGCATTGCACTCCAGAGGGGTGACAAGAGCAATGCCTTCTAGCTTTCTGGTGCACACTGGCTGCGCCTTCCTCCCCTGGAACTTTCACAGCTGGCACCTAGGCATCCTGAGAACTAGACCACCAACCTTGCCAGTCATCACCATTCCTCTGCCTGTTCTGTCACTGATCTTCCTTCATCTAGCAGACTGTCGTCTGCTTCTATCTTACATACCTCATCTATCGATGATGTCCAGGCAACCTCCTCTCCCAGAACTTCCGCTAGCTCAGACAATACCTTTGTTGAAATTAGTCAAAGGTGAGGCCCCTGGGGAAGGCAGCTCCGTGGCAGGGTACGTGGTCTATGAGTAGAGAAGCCTGGATTTCAGACCCAAGCCCCACCCTGAAAGGTACAACCTGTGATGACCGAGTCTCCCCTGTACTTCTGGGATCCTTCTAACTGCTTTCTGCCTTTTTAGCTCCCCTTTCTCATGAAAGCTTGGTGGGAAAGGGAACCATCCCTTAGTAATTATTCCCATTATCATAGGTTTTATTTTGCAATACATGGTTACCTCTGTGGGCAGGGATTAACAGTAGAGCTAAATGCTATGGCTGGATGGGATAGGTGAGGAAATGCCCCAGGATTTCCCATTCCTAGCCTGAGGCTCTGGCTCCTGCCTTAGGAAGAGCCCAGCAGCTACTTTAGCCTTGCAGGTCACTGCTGGGAAGTTCAAATTGCTGGGAAAGTCACTAATTACATTTAGTTTTGTAATGAATTCCAAGCAAAATGCACAGGGTCTTTCTCTCCCTGTGCTACCAGTCAATGGTCTGCCCACAGCTGGCAGCAGGGTCTGGTGGTATAGTGGGAAGTTTGGGAAGAGCATGAAAGGCCTGGATGCCGTGTGACTTGGGCAAGCTGTCCACCTGCCTGCGGCCCTGAAGGGCCTGGCAAGAATGATCTCAAAGCTCCAGACAACCCTGCAGGGCAGTAGTGTGTGCCTGTCCCACTGCCCCTCTGCCTGGCGTCCGTGGCTTCCCTGTCTTGACCTTGACTTTGACCCTTCTCTTTTCTCACACTCTCTAAAAGCATGTGTCATTCCACTGACCTGAATCTTGGGTTTATTCAGTCCTACCTTCAATTCTTTAATTCTTTTTTTTTTTTTTTTTTGAGACAGAGTCTTGTTCTGTTGCCCAGGCTGGAGTGCAGTGGTGCGATCTCAGCTCACTGCAATCTCTGCCTCCCGGGTTCAAGTGATACTCCTGCCTCAACCTCCTGAGTAGCTGGGATTACAGGTGTTTGACACCAAGCCTGGGCCCTTTCTTTAATTCTTAAAGCAGCCCATGATTAGGAGTCTAGAGCAAGCTGGTCCAAAGGCACTCACCCCTTTTTCCCATTGACCCCTTTGTCTCTCCCTCCCTCCCACCCTGCTCCAGCAGAAAGCCCCACCCTCAGCTTAGGGAGCGCCATGACAACTGAAATTGGTTGGTGGAAGCTGACTTTCCTCCGGAAAAAGAAATCCACTCCCAAGGTGCTGTATGAGATCCCTGACACCTATGCCCAAACAGAGGGAGGCACAGAACCCCCGATGCCCGACGCTGGAGGCCCCAACAGCAACTTTAACACCCGCCTGGAGAAGATTGTGGACAAGAGCACCAAGGGCAAGCACGTCAAGGTCTCCAACTCAGGCCGCTTCAAGGAGAAGAAGAAAGTGAGAGCCACACTGGCAGAGAACCCTAGCCTCTTTGATGACTGTGAGGAAGGGCGGTCATCGAAGTGAAGGACTGAGGAGGGTGCTAGCACCTCCTGGTTTCCTGTCATCAGCCAGATCTGAGACAGGAGCTTGCCACGCTGGCCTCTTTGGCCATAGCTGAAGCCATGGTGGCAGTCGATGTCTGCTGGCAGGAAATGGCTGGTTTTTAGATTTGTATTTATGTGCCTCCACTTTTAAGGCCTGGGAGATCCCAGGGTCCTCCCACCCTCACCCTGACCACATAAAAAGGCACTCTAGTTCAAGGGTGAAAACCCTCACCCAGGATGGACAGCCCTCCTTGAAGCAACGGCAGGGCCGGCAGGGAGGTGGGCATGGCAGGGAATGGAGCGAGCCAGACAGACTTCACCTCCTCACTGGACACAGGGTCAAAGGCGAGTTTGAATTGCTGCTCCCTTTACTTTCTCTACCTGTGACTGTTCCCTGGACCAATCCTGAGGAGGTCATATTTTCCAGAAGCCACGTGATGGGCTCTGGTTTCTGTGGAGCCAGAGGCGGAGACGCTGAACTTGAGCTCACCTCCTAACACAGGCAGTAAACTTCCTGGAACTTTGCCCTCAGGTGTGGAGGGGGCAGAGGACACAGCGCTCTGTGGGGGGTGCTGCAGAAGACTAGATTGATGGTAGTTTGACTTACTGGTTCCTGTTTTGGCCATGACTTGTGCAGGTGGAGTCACACACCCTCAAAGGGAAGGTACACTGGCCAAATTGGGGGAGTGGGTGGGGAGTTTTCTCCCTTCCCTCCCCTGCAGTAATAGTATTTAACAGGTATCAGCTCCAGAGATGGGTCCTGGAGTCTTAAATTTTGTTTAACAAAATAATTGTAGGTTTCTCTCTTTGTAATAACAATGCTGGAAAGCAGAGAACCTCTTTCATGCTTATGTCTTGCACTTATTGAGATGACTGTTTTTCATGCCTTTATCTTCCTTATGTAAGTAAAGTGGACCTTTGTGCTCAAACTGTTCCTTTCAAGCTTCAGGAAGGGTACCTAGGTGTGACAGTGTAGGAACTGGTCACTAATTTTTACCATCAAACCAGCCTTAGTGTGGGGATGGGGGAGCAGGAGCTAGTTATACCGCAGTGGTCAGTTCTCTCTGGTCAACAGAGAGGCCATCAGATGCTCAAAAGAGTAAGACAGAGCTTTGATGACTGACCCCAAAGTTTCAGTGGTTTGGTTTGGGATGAAGATTCAAACTCTGGCTCTACCCCTTAATAGCTGGGTGACCTTGGGAACATTTGCTTGTCCTCTGAGCCTCAGTTCTCTCTTCTGTAAAAGGGGGCTGAAATAATACCCATCTTGTCAAAAGCGGTCAGTATTAAGTGGCCTATGAGAGGCCCCATAGTAGGTGCTCAGTTTAATACTGGCTTCCTTGCCCCTTGCTTTATAAACAACTCCACCGTACTCCATAGCTTTGGTTTAAGAAAACAGAGAGGGCGGGTATGGTGGCTGAGGCCTGTAATTCCCTCATTTTGGGAGGCTGAGATGGGTGGATTGCTTGCGCGCAGGAGTTTGAGACCAGCCAAGGTAACATAGCAAGATCCCCATCTCTAAAAAAACCCAACAAACAAAAATTAGCTGACTGTGGTGGCACATGCCTGTAGTCCTATCTGCTTGGGAGGCTGAGGTAGGAGGATTGCTTGAGTCCAGGAGTTCAAGACTGCAGTGAGCTATGATTGTGCTACTGCACTACAACCTGGGTGACAGAACTAGACCTTAACTCCAGAAAAAAAATTTTTTTTAATAAATAAGAAAGGGGAGAAAGCTGTCATCTTATGATGTTAGGTCCAGCTCTTTATCAAGCCATAAGAGCCGGGAACTAAAAAAAGTTGGCCAAATCTCTGGGGCTCCTGGTAGAAACACAGGGAAAGACCAAGGCGGCCACTAAACAATGTGGTCCTGTGGCTTACAGGTCAGCTCCTGGCAGGCTGCTGGCCACCCCACCCCAGGCGCTGTTGCTTGGGGAATTTATTCCTGAAACAAACAGACCTATACAAGGGAGCCTTTGTTAGGTGCCTCACCTAACAGGCCAGGGGGACTTCAAGTGATGGGGGAGGGAGACCAGGAGCTGGAGGGATGGAAGGCAGGCTCAGGGTGTTGCCTTTCCCAAGGCCTCTTCCCCTACCCCTTCTCACTACACAGAACTTTCTAGGGTCTCACTAATTACTCAATCCATGAGGTCTCCATAGAGGAACTCCGACTTTCCCCACACCACAGCCCTGCCCCATGTTAATAGGAAACATTTATAGGGTGCTTATGGCAGGTGGCCCTAGAACAAGCCCTCCCTAAGGTGGGTCACTTAATCCTATCATCACCTGAGACAGGTGCAGTCATTATCCCCATTTTTCAGACAAGTTGGCTGAGGCTTAGAGGTGAGATCACTCACCCTGGGGGCCAGGCACTGGCAGTGGTGGAGCTGGGACTGAAGCCAGAGCCAGCTTGTGCATGTGACCACTGTCCCACACAGTCCCTCCCACTCTTGATTCTTACCTGCTGTGGGAACAGGAAACTGAAGCTCAGAACAAAGAAAAGCACAGACACCTTCTGCAGAAGGGGAAGTGGGGAGGGGAGGGAGCAACGTCTGAGTCTTGGATCCTGGGAGGTGAGCATCGTTTGAGGAGGCTGGACAACTCTGGAAGCATTGGGATAAAGCCAACCAGCTTTGAAGCAGAGTGTCCCCTAAGACCCCAGAATACAGGCATCTCCCACATCCGCCCATTCTCAGTTTCCCTGAGTGGGGAGCAATAAGGTTAGGTCCTGGGCCACCAACCTAAGGTTCTAGATAACACTGGTACTGTACTACCACCTCCTCCAATCTCACCATCACCACTCTGGGTGAGAGTGTCCACAACCCCTCTGACCCTTGCATGCTGACCCCAGCTCCATCTTCTAGGTAAAGTCCACCTGTGTTTCTAAGCTGGGGGGGCCAGATGGATATGGGGTAGATACTAGAAGCCAAAGGGAGATCTGACTGCCCAGGGAAGCAGAGTGAGGCAGCTGCAAGTTTTTATGAGAACAGGGAAAGAGGAGGAACCGAGAGCGTAAATATGTGCGGGAACCGGGAGAGGCTGCCGGTTATCGACCACAGTTTCACTGGGACGCGGCCCAAGCAGAGGAAGGGGGAGGCAAGGGAGGCCGGCTAGAACTGGCCTTCACTGCCCGGAAGGGGCCGACCCTGTGCGACGGGCTCCCCCTGCTGGACATAGGCCTACTTGATGCGGAGAAATGAGGGGGCAGAAAAGTCTATTAAATTTCCTCAAGTCCCCTCCTTGGGGGTTGAGGGAGACCAGACCGGGTTGAACATCAAAAAAATGCACAGCTGACAGGATTTTATTACAGACTGGGGGCAGTAACGACTGGACAGAGAACAGAAAAGGAACAGCTGAGACCAGGCTCAAAGCTGGGGGGATACACAACCCCCAATAACACAAGGTGGGTGCAGCGCTTCTACACACACGTACACGAACTCAGAAACGGCACTGCTTACAGTACAAGAAAAAGGGCAAGGTAGCTCAGGGCACCTGACACCCTCCTGCCTGCAGGGTGCCGCAAGGTTCATGTGCCTTCCTGCACTCAGGCTTAAGGGGGATTAACGGGGAGAGGGCTGCCCTTGGAGGAGGCCTGTGGATAATAGGGACTGAGGCACAGGGCCCTGCAGGGGAAGGAAGCACAGCTCACAGAGTGGCAAGCTCAATGCCAGCCAGTGCAAGCAACAGTCAGTTCTCTGATCCTGGCTTAGTCACAGCATTTACTCAGCCTGGCTCCTCTCCATAGCTAGCAGGCTTCTTGCTCATCCAGGCTGTCTCTGATCAGCGGGCTTTGCTCAAAGAGAGCAAACACAGTTCAGCACAGACTCAGCTGAGGGTCACGAAAGGATCACAGATTGTGAGGGTGGGAGGTCATGGTTTAGAGGTTGAGTCAAGTGCAGTTGGTCACCTGGGGTCTAGTGAAAATACATGGACAGATTCAGTGGGCCAGGGGTCTGAATCTCTAAGGGGCTGCCAAGTGATGCTGATGCTCTTGGCTTGTGGACCACACTGTGTATAGCAAAGCTCTAGACCAGGAGGCCTCAACTTTGGCTGCACAGAATTCTCTGGGGAGCTTTTAAATTTCCCAGTGCCCAGGCTGCCCTCATATCATAGTAGAGACAGGGTTTCGCCATGCTGGCCAGGCTGGTTCAATCATCTCTGAGGGTGGGACCCAGTCATCAGGGTTCTTAAAACTTTCCAGGTAATTCCAGTGTGGGTGAAAAGCTAATGATCTAGGAATCATCAGCAGAAGTGGGGAGTAAGAACAGCAGATATGTGGGTAGTCTGAAAAACATAATCTCTATAATCATTTAATTTTCCTTTTTGGAAAATGTATGTACACATACACACACCGTTTCCACAAACAAACATAGAAAGTAAAGCTGATTAAAATGTTCCTGTCCTATTGGTACCAGCACATGAATCCCTTCTACAAAATTCCTGACTGACTGGGAATAAAAATTCCCAGTGACAGCCCACTCCTTCTTAGGCAGGTCTGATGCTTGAAATATCTCCTAATACTGAGATGAAACCTGCTTTCCTGTAACTCTGTGGGTCCCTTGGAGCCACAGAGAAGGCAACAATCAGTAAGGGAAGTACTATAAAAATATACTATTCTGCGCTGGGCGTGGTGGCTCATGCCTGTAATCCTAGCACTTTGGGAGGCCAAGGCAGGCAGATCGTAAGGTCTGGAGTTCAAGACCAGCCTATCCAACATGGTGAAACCGTGTCTCTACTTATAATACAAAAATCAGCCGGGCATGGTGGCACACACCTGTAATCCCAGCTACTCAGGAGGCTGAGGCAGGACAGCCACTTCAACCCGGGAGGCAGAGGCTGCAGTGAGCTGAGATCATACCACTGTACTCTAGTTTGGGCGACTGAGCGAGACTCCATCTCAAAAACCAAAAACCAAATATATATATATATATATTGGGAGGCTGAGGGGGATGGATCACTTCAGGCAGGAATTGGAGACCAGCCTGGCCAACATGATGAATGCTGTCTCTACTAAAAATACAAAAATTAGCCAGGTGTGTTGGTGGGCACCTGTAATCCCAGCTACTAAGGAGGGATCCCTTGAACCTGGGAGGCAGAGGTTGCAACGAGCCGAGATCATGCCACTGCCCTCCAGCCTGGGTGACAGAGCAAGATTCCATCTCAAAAAAAAAATTCTATTGGTAAATGAGTTAGTTAAGGTTAAGTTGTAAGCAATGGAAATAGATTCTAGCTAGATTAGGTCCAAAAAAAAAAAAAAAAAGAGAGAGAGAATTTACAGAGATAGTCGGGTGTTTCAAGGCAGGGGGAGGAACTGCACAGCCAACCTGGGAAGGAGGTATTAGGGAAGGAGAGATCCTGGGAATTGCAACAGCAGCAGCAGAGGCTGTTGATTCCTGTTGTTTCCTGGCTGCCATGAATGACTTGGCTTCAGTGACTCCCAGCATTCTGATCCCTCCATTTCAAATTTCAAATTATTGACAAAACAATCTGATTGGCCAGATTGGCTCAGGCGCTTATGCTGGGACTAAGCTTTGGCCAGGATGACTCACGAGATGTCACCAGAAAGGGAGTCACACTGGCTGCCACCCCAGAGGGAGCTATCCTAATCAATCATAGGCATGGTCAAAAAAATAACTATGGAATTATTTTCCATGTGTGATTCTCTATGCCACCATTACACTCAGCTTGACCAGCTAACTGAGAACCAACTGAGTACAGAGAACTCGGAGGATGAGCTGTGAAGAGTCCTGAATATAAGGGGTAGGGAGGGAAATGGGCTGAGGGTAGAAAGAAGGGCCTGGGTCCCAATCCCACACTCTCTCTTGACACCTAGCCCTAGCTCCACTCTGGGCCAGAGTCAAGGTGCAAGTCTCTCATAGAGCCAGTCTTCCTCCCCGCGGTGGGTCATGGGCCCCAAAGGGGAATCTCCTGTGGGTAGGCCCCGCCGAAAGACTATCCGGTCATGCAGGCGGTTGGTTTGACCTTGCCAGAACTCCATCACCTGGGGGTACAGGACATAGCCACCCCTATAAGGAGAAGCAGAGGTTTCAGTGCTCTGTGGGTGTTTCTAGCCAGGTCACTCTCCTACCCTCACCCCTCATCCCAGGGCCTCTTGAAGGAAGTTGCTGGGATGCATCTGACAAGGGTTGCCAGGGAGGAGGAGATCTGTAATTCCCCAGGCAGGTGGCTTCAAGTAAATGTAAGGGCATGGTGTCCCTTTCTAGATGACTGCCAGATGTCACTCACCAGGATTTTGGCTTGGGCACCTCCTGATCCTGGTAGAGCTGTTCCAGTTCCTCATTTTTCTTTCTCAGACACTGTCCAGGGGAAGGAGTTAGAAGAAGGGCCAGGCCCAGTCAATGATTCATTAACAAGGACTTCCTGAGGATACGTGCTGGGGACATGGGTGAGCAGAGCAGACTGGCCTCTGTCCTCCAGGAGCACACAGTCAACGGGAGGGCCAGACCGACAGAGGAGGCCTATTTCCCCTCTCCCCCCCCGCCCACTTCCCCTAGGGAGATTGTCCTTTTCACTGTTTTCACTGGGCTAGAGAGAGAAGAACCTGGCATCTTCTTGGGACAGCTTCTAGGGATAAGCCAAAGCCTCCACCACCTAGAGGACTATGGCAGAGCCCCACTCACCTCCCGATCAGGGATCACAGAACTCTGGTGGCTGACCACAGCCCCAATCTGGCTGCTCTTGGGGCGGGAGTGGAAGTAGCACTCAGCCTCCTCCTCAGACAGCTTCTTCACAGGGCCTTCCACACGCACCTGCTCAGGGATGGCTCTGGGTGAAAGGCGTTCAATGCCATCTGCCGTCCCTACCAGCAGAGGCCCCGTTCCTCTCTGTTCTCTCTATCCACTGCCCCACCACTCCTGGCTCCAACTAGACCAGCTAACTGAGGGCTGTTTTGGAGGCAGAGTGCCCAGGTGGGACGTTTGCCCAGTCTGGAGACCTTCACTAGACTCAGCCATAAACTCAGGCCCTGCCAACCCAGCCTATTTTTCCAGGCTCTCCTGGGAAAATTCACTCACCTGACGGTTAAGTGGCTCCCAGTAGAAGACAAGGGAAGCAAAGGGATTTGAGTCCTAGAAGTAAAAAAGAATCCACAACCAGCCATCAGGACAGGGAGAGGAGGCCTCCGGCATGCAGGGGAAAGGCAGGAGAGCTGTGGTGTGCAGGCCTGCAGCAGACGCATCCACTGTAATGGCTCATTTAAATCCTCAAAGGTGGGCCTATTGTCACAGATACAGAGACAGGCTAAGTCACATGCCCAAGTTCCCTCAGTAATGGTGGAGCTAAATTTAGGCCAGTCGGACTCCAAAGTGAGGCTGGGCCACTTCTCTCACCCACAGATTTGTGAGTCTTGAGAAATACTGGCATAGACTCAGGGAGGTTTACTCATTTTGGATTCATTCATTGAATGCACACGAAGTGCCCACTCTGGGTCTGACAACAGGAGACATGCAGGGGGTACAGCAAAGATAAAACAGAGCAGCCTCCACTCCTCGAGAGCTTACTGTTCGGCAGAGGAGACAAATATCCGTTACATAATCACCTAAATAAATGCTCACTTACAAACTGAAGAAAATAACGAAAAGGAAAGTTGCAAGTTATAATGACAGCAAACAGCATGACGGGCTGAGTCAGAGTCAAGGAAGGCCTTCCTGAGGAGGCAACATGTTGGCTGAGATCTGAAGGAACAGGTGAAGGCTGATGGGGGTTAGGCAGGGACCTTTGCATTCATTCATTCATTCATTCATTCATTCATTCATTCATGGCAAAGAGCAAGTGCCAAGGCCTCATAGCAGGAGGGTACTTGCACACAGAGAGCAAGAAGATGGGCAGGGGTAGGGGCAGGTGGCATGAGAAGGTGACAGAAGGCAAGGGCCAGACCCTTCAGGCCCTGGGAAAGATTACCAGCTCTTTTCACTGACCAGCTCTTTTCCTTTTCGGCTCTCGAAGTTGGTGAAGAAACGGAAGCCATCTTTGCCAAAGCCCTTCAGTAGCAACATGCGAGCAGAGGGTTTTCCATCTCTAGGGGCAAACAGCAGAGCACTGTGGTCAGAGCCTGCTTCAATGTTGTGGCTACAGTCCCTCTCCCCAAAAGATGTCTAAGCACCCCCTCCAGCTGCACCCCCTTTATTGAGCTGTCAGGCTGCCCCCTCCCATGTGCTCCTGGGGGTTTGTCCTAGAGGTATGACACTACAGCCTGAGGCCCTGTTATGGACTGAATTGTGATACCCAAAACCCCTATGTCAAAGACTGAAACCTCAGTATGACTGTATTTGGAGACAGGGACCTTATGGAGGTAACTAAGGTTAAATAAGGTCATAGGGTGGGGCCCTAATCCAATAGGACTGGAGTCACTGTAAGAGAAGAGACTTCAGAACCACCTCCCTTACCCCCCCCAACACACACACACACACACACACACACACACACACACACACACACACAGGAAAGGCACTATGAGGACATGGCAAAAAGCAGCTGTCTGCAAACCACAAGCAGAGGCCTCACCAGAAACCACCCCTGATGGCACCTTGATCTTGGACTTCTAGCCACCATAACTATAAGAAAATAAATTCCCTACCGGGCGCGGTGGCTCAAGCCTGTAATCCCAGCACTTTCGGAGGCCGAGGCGGGTGGATCACGAGGTCAAGAGATCGAGACCATCCTGGTCAACATGGTGAAACCCCGTCTCTACTAAAAATACAAAAAATTAGCTGGGCATGGTGGCGCTTGCCTGTAATCCCAGCTACTCGGGATGCTGAGGCAGGAGAATTGCCTGAACCCAGGAGGCGGAGGTTGCGGTGAGCTGAGATCCCGTCATTGCACTCCAGCCTGGGTCACAAGAGCGAAACTCCATCTCAAAAAAAAATAAAGAAAATAAATTCCTGTTGTTTAAGCTACCAGTCTACAGTATTTTGTTAAGACAGCCCTAGCAAACTCATAAGACCTTAAGGGCAGGAACTAACAATAATGCAATCAGTCAATGCTTAGGGATCATGGTGGTGCTATTAGATCAGCTCCTCTGCTCAGAGCTCTGGGAGACACCCACTCGCACAGTACAAGAGCACTGCTTTCAAGGCCTTACAGTCTAGCAAGGAGTATTGTTCTATCTATTATAGCCTGAATAACAGGCTATAATACAAGTTATGTCTCAAACGGCATATGATTGTCAAAGGAATGATATAGTCAAGTACTGTACTAGATTTTGAGAGAGGGACAGAGCTTCACCAGAAGCAGCTCCTGAATAGCAGACAGGGTTTGGGTAAATGGAGAGATGAGGGAGGCAAGGGGCTATGTATGGATGTATCAAGGGTAGAGATGAACAAGGCACTGCATTTTTATCACTGACATGTAATTTTGTGGTCTGGTCTCTGATTTATAGGTAGGGACACAGAGGCCAAGGGAGGACAAGTACCTTGCCTAAAGCCACACAGTAGCTGGAACCATAAAGTTGGCATCTAGAGCTGAGAGCTTCATAAGCTCCTACTTCATATGTACCCAGCCAAAGAGGGTCCCATGGCCATGCCCACCTGGTACAGGTAGCCAGACACATGGCGTTGGCCTCCCCTATGTCAGGACACTGAACAGCATCCTCAAACCAGGCAGCAAACTGTTTCACTGGGTCCAGGGAGGTCAGATGAGTCTCCTCAAATGCCTAGAAAGGGAGTTTTATTTCATTTAATAAACATATATAGCGCTTACTATATACCTGGCACTGTTCTAATCACTTTTCAAATATCAACTCATTTAGTCCTCATGACAATGACCTTAAAATAAAAAATAGTACGCAGTAAGAAGATTCTGTGCCCCATTTTATAGGTGAGGAAACAGGCATAAGAAGGTCAGACAACTTGCTGTCCCAGAGCTAGCAATGGATAAATCAGGGTTTTATGTCATGGGTGTCAAAATTGTCTGTGTATCAGAATCACCTGGGGAGCATTAAAAAAACTTTCTGGGCTCCACCCCCATAATTTCTCATTCAGCAGGCTGAAATTTAATCAAAAACTGCTTTTGTGTGTGTGTGTGTGTGTGTGTGTGTGTGTGTGTGTGTGTGTGAGGCAGGGTCTCACTCTTTCGCCTGGGCTGGAGTGCAGTGATGTGATCTCGGTTCACTGAGGCCTCAACCTCCCAAGCTCATGTGATCCTCCCACCTCATCCTCCCAAGTAGCTGGGATTACAGGCATGCTCCAACATGCCCGACTAATAAAGGTTCTCTTGGTTCCCATCCTGAGGAGGGAAAAGGAAAAGAACTTCCCAGCGGTCAGCAAAAAGTACTGAAGGCAGTAAGCTGAGAGCTTTCTCCTCCCTGAGCTAGACCCCTTCCCCACATTCCACTTATTTTTTTTTCTCAAACAGTTTGTAAGCTCTTTATCGCTGTATCCACCCAAAGAGAGGCCCATGACCATGCCCTCCTTGGGGAGTTTGGGTGACCCCCAAACCTCCTTGCCCTAGGGGGTGGCCCCAGGAGCCCTGAGGGGCTGGCTCCTCCTACTCCCCTCCCCCCAGTAGATAACTCCGAAGACCCCTCTTCCCCCACCCCTTAACGGAGGCCCGGCCCTGTGATGACAACTATAACATGAAACCCTGATTAATCCATCACTAGCTCAGCGGGACTGAGCAAGTTATCTGACCTTGCTACCTGTACCAGGTGGGTAGCAGGGTTCTAAGCAGTTTAGAAACATCTAAGTCTTAACATCCCCGTGAGCTAGGTACTGTCACTTCCCAGATGAGGAAACTGAGGCCCAGAGAGGTTAAGGATTCCAACCCAGGTAGGCTCCAAATTTCGAGCTCTTATCCCTTATGAAAGGCTGACTTTTGAACCCATCTTCATTCGCATTTCCCCGGAACTGCTCCCCCGGTCGCATGTCTTTGAAGCCCCCTTCTCCCACGCGGGTGATCCCCAAACCTTCTTGCCCCATTGGTTGGCCCCAGAAGCCCCGAGAGTTTCCTCCTACTCCTCTCCCCGCTGAAGATGAATCTGGGGACCCTTCTTTCCCCGCCCCTGCAGGAGGCCTGGCCCTGGCGGCTGCACCTCTCTGTCTCCGCGGTAGCTCTTGCGCATGGGTCCCAGGTCCATGGCAGCACCGCGACCACACAGGTGACGGAAGTAGCCTGGCCACTCGGCAGGTCGCCCAAACGTCGCAGTGACGCCCCGCAGCCAGCACGTCATGAGGACCGCCGGCCACGTGACCCGGCTGTCGCCCCACGCTGGGTTCCTTTGAGTTCGGAACCAATTTCTCACCGCAGACGTCTACCCCAAGGAAGGAAGGATTTGCCAGTAGCCCAACCAAGCTAACAGGTCCTAAGTCCTAGGAGCCAATGGGAGTCCAGGATCGGAGGAGGGAGACAGGCACGGAAAGGTCATTGGTTGGAGCTTTTGAGGAGCGAGGCCGATTAGAGCGTGAACAGAGGAACCCAGCGGCCAATGGGCAGCACCTTTGGGGGCGGGAGCAGAGAGACAAGGAAATGCTGTCACCGCCGTTAACACGCACGTGGAGGTTAGTTAAAGGTATAGGAAGATCTCCTGCAGCTCAGGCGGGGCGGAGGATGTGTCCCGGGGGCTTGAGGGGAGTGGTCAGTATTAAGTGGCTGGCCCACAGTAGCTGCCTGAAGGTGAGCTTAGGGCAGGAAGTACCCCCTGGGAGGGGAGACTAGTGGAATGGGAAAAGAAAAATGGAAAATGGAATTAGGGGCCAGACTGAGGCAGGGTGATGGGGACACATAGAGAAAAGGGTAGTCTGGCTGTGGGAGAAATTAGGGCATGAGAGTGGGAGAGGTTGAAATGACTTGTGGACCATGCCCCGATTGGGGAGGTGCAGTGGGGCTAGGAAGAGACGGTGAGGTGAGAAGGAAGATGGCTGAATGGGAAGGGGGAAGAAGGAAATTTGGGACCAACGCATCCCAGACAAGAGTTGTTTTCCTCTTCTAGTTTTGTTTTTGTTTTGTTTTGTTTAAGACAGACTAGCTCTGTGGCTCAGGCTGGCGTTCAGCGGCGCGATCTCGACTCACCGCAGCCTCTACCTCCCAGGTTCAAGCAATTCTCTGCCTCAGACTCTCGAGTAGCTGGGATTACAGGCACCCACCACTACGCCTGGCTAATTTTTCTATTTTTAGTAGAGACAGGGTTTCACCATGTTGGCCAGGCTGGTCTCGAATCCCTGATCTCAAGTGATCCACCTGCCTTGACCTCCCAAAGTGCTGGGTTTATAGGCATGAGCCACCGAGCCCACCACCTCTTCTAGTTTTGAGCCCTCCCTCCAGCCTCATTTATTTAAGCGAGGGTCAGAGCATACTGCTCCCTTTGCTCATGGTTTCCCCTGCCATGGTGCATTGGAGTTCATAGGAGCCAGTGTCCTGGTATATGGCAAGGCTGCCAATGTCCTGTCTCTCCAGGGCCTCCCCCATCTTTATCAAGCTTTCCCTTTTCCACATTTTGCCCATCCTAGGTAGTAGGAGTCTAGCACCTAGGTCAATGCCAGCAATTGCCACCAGGGAGTACACACCAGATGGCTGTGCATAGCCATTCCAGGCAGTGGATGCAAGGCTGAAAATGGGAAATCCACTTGTGCTTAATCCAGTTCTGACCTGGCTGGGGCAGCCTTGGGTTGAGACCTCTCTCTAGCCCTGCTTTCCACCAGCAATCAGGAAGGGGAGCTGCAAGAGTCATCTAGGCAGGCACCCAGGACTGTGCCAGGTAAGGGGAACTTCCTTGCCTGCCCAGGTGTCTGCATTACAGCTGAGCTTCATAAAGCCCTACATTAGATACCTGTCATCCTTTATGTGTACATAGCTTGAGCCAGATAGAATCTGGAAGACAATTTTGCTGCAAAGAAATAATACAGGTCTCAAGGCTTAATGATATTTTCTATGGATTCTCCATTGGTTGGAATTTTTTGTGCTGCCGTCATTTTCCTCCATCAGCATAATTGAGAGAAAGTTAACTGGATTTACTTTCCTGAAGATTGTCTTTCTATATAAGAACATTGCTGTCTTCCCGCCCTCCTAAGCCCCTGCAGTTGAACCTGTATAAGCAGTAATGAATGCACTTCGACTCAGATGACTTTTGTTCTTTTTTTTTACATTTTTTTTGAGATGGAGTCTCCCTCTGTCACCCAGGCTGTAGTGCAGTGGTACAATCTCGGCTCACGGCAACCTCCGCCTCCTAGGTTCAAGCCATTGTGCCCCAGCCTCCCGAGTAGCTGGGATTACAGGCGTGTGCCACCACACCTGGCTAATTTTTTGTAATTTTAGTAGAGATGGGATTTTGCCATGTTGGCTAGACTGGTGTCGAACTTCTGACCTCAAGTGATCTACCCACCTCAGCCTCCCAAAATGTTGGGATTACAGGCGTGAGCCACCGTGCCCAGCCATGGGGTTTTTCTTCATGCTCTTTTAGCATTCCTGGGCTGCTGCTTCCCTGGACCTGGATCCTAGGACACCAAGACTAAGATCATCTGTGTACTTAAAAGCCAACAGCTCAGTGTAGTGGGGGTAAATACATATTTATGTATTCATTCAGTAGACATTTGTTAAAGACTTCCTTTGGACCAGACACTGAACCAGGTCTGAGAACATTAAGATGAAGATGACAACCTGGGCTTGTAGTCTATAGGGGGAGGCAGATTTGTGAGCTTAGGAATTGTTGTGGCCTCTTTTTTTTTTTTTGAGATAGAGTCTCACCCTGTTGTCCAGGCTGGAGTGCAGTGGGATGATCTCGGCTCACTACAACCTCTGCCTCCTGGGTTCAAGGGATTCTCCTGCCTCAGCCTCCTGAGATATTTTAACAGGTGTTTCTGTGCAGTAAAAAGGAGCAAAAAGAAGAGGATCAAACAGTCAGGAAAGGCTTCATAAAGGGAGTGGACATTTGATGTCTTAATGAGTAAGTTTTTACTGGATGGACAATGGAACAGCCACTCCAGCAAGAGGGAACATTGTGAGTAAAGGCATGGTGCACTTGGGGGACTCTGAAGATGTGTAATACTGCTGGAGCAAAGGCGATGAGAAAACAAGCTAATCGGCTGGGCGCGGTGGCTCAAGCCTGTAATCCCAGCACTTTGGGAGGCCGAGGCGGGTGGATCACGAGGTCAAGAGATCGAGACCATCCTGATCAACATGGTGAAACCCCGTCTCTACTAAAAAAATACAAAAAATTAGCTGGGCATGGCGGCACGTGCCTGTAATCCCAGCTAGTAAGGAGGCTGAGGCAGGAGAACTGCCTGAACCCAGGAGGCGGAGGTTGCGGTGAGCCGAGATCGCGCCATTGCACTCCAGCCTGGGTAACAAGAGCGAAACTCCGTCTCA